GGGCCAGCCACAAAGAAGCCATGGTTGGTGCTGTGGCCCAGAGAATGGTCGGTCGGCTCTGAACTCACCGTGGGTGGCCCCTCTGGGATCGACTCAGCCAGACGCTGCCTTGGCAATGCCCCCATGGCCTTGTTAAATGCAGGGGTCATTTCGTAGAAAGAGAGGTGCAGGAGCTCATTAGCATGACTCATTTGCATGTGCCACACCCCCTGACATCACCGGACGTGTGTCAGAAGGCAACACCCACCGCTCAGGCTCCACTGGACTCTTTTGGATTCCTAGCTATTGGGGGGGGGGGGGGAGAGAACGGGCAGATCTGGTGGGGGGAACGTGCAGATCTGTCCTCACAGAGGAGGGAGAGCTTGTACCTGAAGGTGGGCTGGGGGGGCTCTGCATCTTACCTGGCTGCTTCTTGCTCTTCGTGGCCTGACTGAGGGCTGCTGGGAGCAGGGCGTGGGGTTTGTTGCATGTTCCCGCCCCCTGGGCTCTTTACTGCTGGAGCTCCGCTCCTGTGCGCTCCCGCAGGAAATGACCCCTGGTTAAATGTAAAACGTGATGAGTGATTTCCACCAACTGAGTAAGAATCCCCTCCACAGATAACCTTGCTTAAGCTGGCATCTCATGGTTTTGCCACTGGCCGTATTCTAGATATTCCTAATATTCATTCATTCATTAGATTGCTTTGCCATCATCGAGAATCTTACTAGTTTACTGGTGACCGTTTTGTACTTCGAAGCACCAGCACCATCACCATTTGCCCGTTTAGAAACAGGAACACCCTTCATAAGAACATAAGAACATTCTGCTATGGTCAGGCCTCACCTGGAGTCCTGTGTCCAGTTTTGGGCACAATGTTTTAGGAAGGATGTTGACAAGCTCGAGCGTGTCCAGAAGAGGGCAATCAGGATGGTGAGAGGGTTGGAATCCAAGTCTCATGAGGAAAGGCTGAAAGAGTTGGGTATGTTTAGCCTGGGAAAGAGAAGGCTTAGAGGGGACATGATTGCAGTCTTCAAGTATTTGAAGGGCTGTCATGTAGAAGATGGAGCGGATCTCTTCTCTCTTGCTCCGGATTGCAAGACGAGATCTAATGGGTGGAAATTACAAGGGAGTCGATACCGGCTAAATATCAGGAGAGACTTCCTAACTGTAAGAGTGGTTGAGCGGTGAAACAGTCTGCCTCAGGAGGTGGTGGATGCTCCTTTGCTGGACGTTTTCAAGCGGAGGCTGGGCGACCATCTTTCGGGTATGTTGTAGGGCTATCTTTCGGCTATGCTCCTGCAGAGTGCAGGGGGTTGGACTAGATGACCTGCAAGGTCTCTTCCAACTCTAACATTCTATGATTCTATGATAAGAGAATCCAATGTTGGATCAAGCCCATCCAGTTCAACACTCTGTCACACAGCGGCCAAAAAATACCACGTGCCATCAGAGGGTCCACCAGTGGGGCCAGGTTTGCCATTGCCTGCCTCAGCATAGCAACTCTGGACTTCTTGGTGGTCTCCCATCCAGATGCCAACTGGTGGTCTCCCATCCAAATGCTTCAAAACCTGTCTGCTTGCTCTGATGCGTGACTCACAAGGCACAGGGGGAGCCTGCGGGGACCCGATAATTACTCAACGGATCTTCCCTTTCCAGGGCTGCCAGGACCAGGGTCGCACACTGGCATTAAGTTGCAGGCTGAAATCTGCTCCTCCAGGGCTGGGTTCTGGGGCTGGTGGCCCCTGGGCAGAGAGTCAGCAGGGCCCCCCGCACTTCCACCATCAGTTCCCCTGCTTGCGCCCTCCTTCCCTCCCCCTCGCATGCCCTTCACCTACCTGTATGTCCTTCCCCTGCCTGCTTGGAAGCTTTCCTGCTGCCCATGCTCACAGCCACTGACCGGCTGCAGCCCTTTCCTGTCAACAGCAGGGTTTGCAGCTAAGAACATGGAGTGCTAGCAAGAGAGCAGCAGGAGGGGCTGGCAGCAGTGGCCCCCGCCAGAAACCCTGGGCCCAGGCAGCTGGCCCACCTCGAGTTATGCTGACGCTGGCCCTGCATTCCTCCTGCAATACAAGCCAGCTTCAGCATCTGGTCAGCTGGTCCCAAGGACCAACCGGGATCCGCCAAGCCTTACCAGCCAGTGCTGCACCAACTGCATTGGCTGCCGATAGAGTACCGCATCCAGTTTAAGGTTCTGGTGTTAACCTTCAAAGCCTTATACAGACAGGGACCTGCATATCTTCGGGATCGCCTCTCCCCACATGCGCCCCGCAAAGCACTGCGCTCAATCGACGAACATTTACTGGTTGTCCCCTGCCCTAAGCCTCAACCAGGGCCAGGTCTTTTTCTGCCCTGGCCCCAGCCTGGTGGAACAAGCTCCCGGTCGAGATCAGGGCCCTGTGGGATTTCTTACAAATTCTGCGGGGCCTGTAAAACGGCGCTGTTCAGCCGGTCTTTTGGTTGAGGCGGCGGGCATCCAAAATCTATCTTTGGCCTCCCCTACTGTAGTGTATTGAAACAGCTTACATGAATCGCCGCATTGACTCCCCATGTTACGCTCGAGCCAGAGGAAGGCTCCTCCGAGCTAACGTGCTATTGGTTGCTCCTCAACAGCGACCAATCAGAACTGCACCTAGTCCCTGCGAGGGAAGAACTCTCCTTGGACTTTATCCGCTCAACCTCATTGGTTGTTTATTGTACAGAGGTGTGGCTACGTTAGCCCGGGAATGTTTAAAAGGAGCCTAGCTCCCAATGTTAACTTGTTCTGGTTATGACTTCTTTCAAGCGCTTGTTCGTACCTTCAATAAAGCTGTTCACTTTTGCTGAAATCACTCTCCGGATCTTTGTTAGCGGCGATCTAACACCTACTGAAATCGCTGCCTCTATGATCAGCCTGGAAAACGACCAATCACATATCTAACTCACTGCCGATTCAAGCAGCAGCCACCAAGGTTTTGTTTAGGTTGTACCTCACGCCAGCAAGGCTGGCTTACATGGTACCAAACTCACCCCCCTCTCTGTTGGAAACAGTGTGGGGAGAAAGGGTCTTTTCTCCATACATGGTGGGAATGTCTGCATATAAATAATTTTTGGGAAAATGTACTAGTGTCCATTCAAGAAATCACTGGTTTCACCCTGCCTCTGGATCCGGTGGTTATACTGCTTAACTCATGGTCGGCGATCGCGGTGCCAAAGGTCCGTAAGGATTTAGTTCTTCTCACAGCAGCTAAGGCGGTCATCGCTCAAAGATGGAAGGATAGACATCCTCCAACGTTGTCTCATTGGCATGCAAAGCCTACTCAGATCGCTCTGAGAGCCAGTTTGGTGTAGTGGTTAAGTGTGTGGACTCTAATCTGGGAGAACCGGGTTTGATTCCCCACTCCTCCACTTGTACCTGCTGATGTGACCTTGGGTCAGTCACAAGCTCTGGCATAGCTGTCCTTGAAAAAGAGCAGTTTCTGTCAGAGTTCTCTCAGCCCCACCCACCTCACAGGGTGTCTGTTGTGGGGAGGGGAAGGGAAAGGAGTTTGTAAGCCGCTCTGAGACTCCAAGTGAAGGGCGGGGTATAAATCCAATCTCTTCTTCTTCTTCTTCTTCTATGCTAGTGCGAGAGGTTCTAGACCCCCTAGACAAATGGCTCCCTTTCCTGGACAAGGCAGACGCAGAACAAGTAGTTTCTGAAAAGTGGCCTTTGTTTAAAACCAACATGTTCTTTTACGTTAACTATAGTCATATACAAGTTTACTTTCTTCCTCGTCATCTTGAATTTGTTAGAGTACTGTTTGTTGGCTCTTTGTACATGGTTATTTGCTCACTGTACCTGCATAGTACAAGTGTGGTGTCGCTTGTTACCTAGGCGGTTGCTATTTTACCTGTACTTCATTTATTGAAAATTCTAATAAAACCTTTTTTTTGGGGGGGGGGAGTACAGCAACACGAAGCTTGGCTGCTGTTTCTATGAATGTTTCTAAATGATTGTTTTAATTATTTTAACTACTCTCCCATTACATTTTTGATTGCCCATTGTATTCCCAGCCTAGGTCAAAAATTTTATCTGGTATTTTACCAGTTTTAAGCTTTTACTCAGTCCCAGAGAAGATTATATTTTTGTCAGCCGATGCCAATGCCGATGTATCCAATAGAATGGCTCTATTCGCCTTGGCTGCAAGGAAAATACGGGCCAACGCTGTTCCTAGCTAATACTGATTTTAGTGGGTACGTTGTGAATTAATTAACTGTTTATAACTTTGGTTTTATGGATTTATAATGTTTTAGACTGTATCTTATTTTATACAATTTTCTATGTTTTATGGCATTCTTCTTTGTTCGTGGTTTGTAATGGCCTATGGCTAAACAGGGCTCTTTTTGTAGAAAAAGCCCAGCAGGAACTCATTAGCATAATAGGCCACACCCAACAGCAGGAACTCGTTAGCATATTGGGCCACACCCCCATGTTACCAGAAGTGTGCTCATCCAGCCACACCCACCTTTTGCTTCTTATTCTGTTTACCTTGTTTGTTGTTAAAACCCTGGGCTTTTTTTGTAGCAGGAACTTCTTTGCATGTTAGGCCACACACCCTAATGTAGCCAATCCTAATGAGTTCCTGGTGTTGGGTGTGGCCTATTATGCTAATGAGTTCCTGCTGGGCGTGGCAAACTCGGGAGCCAGCCAGAACTCCGTTCCTGTACGTTCCTGCCCAAAAATAGCCCTGGCTAAATACAATAAAAACCTTCTTCTACCCTGAATTATTTTAACTATGGTTGCGGAGACTGGCGTGACGTTGTAACCCACCCTAAGCCTGTTCGTGGTGGTGGTGGTGGAGATAAATAAATAAATTGAATTGAATAAATAAATAAATAAATAAATAAAAATCAGGCCCCAGGCTTGGGACCAGGCCTTCGGTCTGAGCTGCTCAACTCACTGGAAGCGATGTCGCCCTAGGCTGCCCAGTTACTCCCCTTCAACCGACTGCCCTTTCAGAACTCGACGTTCCTGCCAGTTGTGGGCTTCTGGTCCTTCTGACCTTTGGCTGCCGCTTATGGGACTTGGCCCGCATCTGCCTTCGCTCGCGCTGCTCGCTTCTGGCCCCATCAGACTGACAGATGCCCAGACCTTGTACGCCCCAGACCTTGAGCTCTGACCCTGGCAGTTCCACAGGTTTTACACAAATGCTGGCTGCTGGTTTCCGGTCTGTTTCCATTGCGTTAGCCCTTCCGTCCCCGTGTACATCGGAAAGACAAAAAACAGTTCTGCCTCTGCCTGCCCCTCGAGCCGTCCCCCTGAGAGCTACTCGAGCCAGGCCTCAGAGAATGTGGGGGTCACAGGCACAGAGTACACTGTCGTAACATGCAGCGCACAAAACACAAAGGAGTTCCTCTGGCAGTCAGCCCACAGAGACTCTAAAATCAGGGATCACCAAGCAAGTGCTGTGAACTTGGGCAGATCATGAGAAGGGAGGGTGGGAAGGGTTGCATCAAGGCTTAGTTCCCGTGGTCCTCTCTGACACACCCAGGGAAATGCCGGTTGCCACTTTGGGGGGTCAGGACGCAGTTTTTCCCCAGGCCAGTTTGGCCGGGGATCCTGGAGGTTTTTTGTCATCTTCATGGAGCAGGGGCCACTGGGGATGGGGTGGGGGGAGATATTTGTATTTCATGCATATATTTATGCTGGTTTTAAAGTTGTGCGTAAGCCGCCCTGAGCGGGAGGGCGGGATAGAAATTTGATAAATAAATAAATAAAATTGTGAATTTCCTGCACTAAGCAAGGGTTTTACTTACGCATTTATTTATTTCTTAATCTCATTCATACCCCGCCCTCCCTGCAATGCAGGCTCAGGGCGGCTCACAATCAAGGCATAAATACAATTAAAAAACACAAAAAATCATCTAAAACAATTCCATTATCGGTTCTACAATGCCAAGACCACGGCCACACATCCCGGAAATCTACAGCTACTAATTCCATTATACCTAATACAATTCCATTATAGCTAATACAGAGTCATACAAGGGATGCTTCTGGTTAGTTAGTTATTCCAGATGGCTGACTTTCACACTACATTTCCAAAGTCTGAGAGTCATTCTGCTCCTGATCTTCCTGTGGTGCAGGCTAGGTGTCAAAACCAAGGGCCAGGGCTGTATAGTGGTGGCGGCTCCCTAGCTGAAAGCCTGGTGGAAAAGCTCCGTCTCGCAGGCCCTGCAGAACTGTAAAAGATCCCGCAGGGCCCTGATCACCTCTGGAAGCTCATTCCACCAGGATGGGGCTGCCACTGAGAAAGCCCTGGCCCAGACATATCTGACTGGCAAAACAAATTATGGGAACACTTTATCTATGGAAAAACGACTTATCAACAAACACAAGAAAATGCTAAAAAAATTCAGGCAGTTTGGTTCCCCGTAGTCCAATACCTTGCAGAAGGTGAAATCATCCCAAGAAATGAACACCTTACAAACCTGCTGTATTTTTGAAATTGGTGAGACTCCTGTGCTAAAAACACTGATTTAAAATACAATTCAGCCATGCAATATGTTCTTTCCACAGTTGTTATGTAAATACCTCTTGCACTATATTTTCTTGATTGTAGTCAACCTGTTATATATTGTTATTGTGTATGTAAAAAATAATTTAAAAAATTGAATAAAAGTTCAAGTTTTAAGGGTAGGCCCTGACTTATACTTCTTCTGTCTAGCTGCGCTTTGGCCAACAGCGGCTCCGTACCACTACCAGCATGCTGTGGGTGGAGGCATAAGAAAGCAGACTTGAAAACTAAAAATAATTGCATCTGATGAGGTGAGTCCTGACTTGTGAAAGCTCACATTGGAATATACGCAGGGGTCATTTCGTAGAAAAAGAGATGCAGGAGCTCATTAGCATAACTCATTAGCATAACTTATTTGCATATGCCACACCCCCTGACATCACCGGATGTGTGTCAGAAGGCAACACCCACCGCTCAGGCTCCACTGGACTGGATTGCTATCTATTGGGGTGGCGGGGGGGGGGCATACAGATCTGTCCTCGCAGAGGAGGGAGAGCTTGTACCGGAATAAAACTTGGTCTTAAAAGTGCCACTGGACTGTTTTGGACCGGGGGGGGGGCTGGGGGGGGCTCTGCAACTCACCTGGCTGCTTCTTGCTCCGACTGAGGGCTGCTGGGAGCAGGGGGTGGGGCTTGTTGCATGTGCCCGCCCCCTGGGATCTTTACTGCCGGAGCTCCGCTCCTGTGCGCTCCTGCAGGAAATGACCACTGAATATATGTATTCTTAGAGAAGTAACTTCTTTCAGGTGCTGCTGGAATTCTGCCTTATATTGCTGGTACGGACTAGTGTGGCTTCCCCTCTGGAACTAGAAATAACTTGGTAGCGGAGAAGACGTGCATCGTTGTCGGAGAGTTAAAGGAAAGAGAACAAGTCCCCAACAACGATTTAACTTGAGCATGAATAATGCCTGGCGACACTAATGGAATGTCTAGCCAGGTCGTGGAGTCTTTTCTCGAGAAACTTCAGCGGGGGAAGGCTGGGCAGGCATCAGTGCTGAACGCCTGGATGAAAGGATACCCCATCCGAGGAGAAAGGGCCAAGAGACGCCTGCCAATACGGCGACGAGTCACAGTTGCTTGGATAGTTTTCCCAGTGGGCAAGAACTGCGCTATTTCATGAAGCGCACGGATGGTGCTAAATAAAGATTAGGGGGGGAAAGAAAATCCATTCTCTCCCATGAGTCCTGAGGTGAACAGGAGAAACATGGTCCTTACTGGCTTTGATAGTATGAGGCCTTCATCCCAAAAAGGATAAAAAGCCTTATCAGCCCAGCTAAACTTTTCTTGAGTGTCATCACTGAGTCCCACTTGGAACCCAGGCCTGCTGTTTCTGAGGGAACTTACAGGAAGTTAGAGCTTATCCTGATGGCACCTGGTATTTTTTGGCCACTGTGTGACAGAGTGTTGAACTGGATGGGCCATTGGCCTGATCCAACATTGGCTTACGTTCATATGTTCTTAGGAAGAGCTCAGCAAGGAGGGAAGAAGGAGGAGGAGATTGGATCTATACCCTGTCCTTCCCTCGGAGTCTCAGAACGGCTTACACTCTCCTTCCCTCCCCCTCCCCACAACAGACACCCTGTAAGGTAGGTGGGGCTTTGAGAGCTCTTTCCAGAACTGTCCTTGAGAGAACAGCTGACAGAACTTGTGACTGACCCAGGGTCACAGGGTCACACCTGCAGCTGTATATGGAGGAGTGGGGGAATCAAACCTGGTTCTCCCAGATTAGAGTCTGCGCTCCTAACCACGACACCAAACTGGCTCTCAGAGGGAACAACACTGTTGTTTGTCATGCACCCCATTAGATAAGGGGTCCCCAACGTGAGGCCCTCCAAGAGTTTTTAGAAAGTGGGTGGGGGCGGGTTGGGCTTCTGCCCAACAAGACGTCTGATTGGATGTGCAGATTTTTTTTTTTTTTTAAGTTGTTGGTGGCAGCTACCACCACGGTACAAGGATCCTCACCGTGTGACAGAAAGTAAGTTGCAGCAGCCATTTTGTGGTGTCTTCCACCTTCTGCGGTAGCCATGTTGTGACAGCCATCTGGTGGCGGCACCCACCCCACTGGATCAGAATTCCAAAAAGTGCCCGCGAGCTCTAAAAGGTTGGGGATCCCAGCATTAGATTCTGCTTGACCGACTCCAGTACACTTATCCTCCTGAGAAAACAAGCCTGACTTCCATATTTCAGAGTGAGCCAGAGACTTCTCAGAAGTGATACTTCAGGAGTGCCTTGTCCGAAATGCAAACTCAAAGGTGTTCTTAGCAAAAGAAAACTGAAAGTGTTCCCTGAAAAGGCTTTGGATGAACCAAAAGGAGAGGGGTTTTAACCGGTGTTCCCTCTAAGCTGAGTTAGTGTGAGCTAGCTCACAGTTTTTTAGACTCTGGCTCACACATTTTTGTCTTAGCTCAGGAAGGGACGGCTCCAGAGCAAACTAATTGATGTAGTAGCCAAATTGCTTGCTCACAACTTTAATGCCAGTCGCTCACCAAGTAGAACTTTTCCTCACAAGACTCCACAGTTTAGAGGGAGCGTTGGTTTTAACTCCTGGATGCCACCTTCCTCTGGGTGTTAAACTGTCACCTTTCTTACCCAGGTTCTGAGCTATTGCAGTCTGAGGATGTTCTCCCTCAAAAAAATAATTCGGACATGAACATGACCGCTCTGTGCGAGAAGGGAATTCAATACGAGTCTCCGGCCTTTGCCCTCTTCAGAAGGTATGCCCTCACCGTGCTTCAGATGAACGGCTGCACAACCAGAGGTTCTGGAAATCTGGACAGCAAGTCTCACCCTAGTGCGTGAAATATACAGCTTCAGATGCCATGAAGCATGAACTGTGGAGCTTCAAATGCAGAGTCTGAAGCAAACCTAGAATCATGAAAAGCTCAGGAGAGTTCCATGCAGACAGATGAGTGCATTTTTGAACTGTAAAAAAGGACAGAGAGCAAGTTCCACTGCGTGTTCCTCCAAGAAACTCTTGAGAATATCCAACAACCATGTGAGGTAGGGTAAGCTAAGAGAAACTGACTGGCTGTGGCTCAGTGGTAGAGCCTCTGCTCGGCATGCAGAAGGTCCCAGGTTCTATCCCCGGCATCTCCAGTACAAAAGGACCAGGCAGTTGGGTGATGTGAAAGACCTCCGCCTGAGACCCTGGAGAGCTGTAAAGAGGGGCTGTGGCTCAGTGGAAGAGCCTCTGCTTGGCATGCGGAAGGTCCCAGGTTCAATCCCCGGCATCTCCAGTTGAAAAGGACCAGGCGGCAGGTGATGTGAGAGACCTCTTCCCTCAGACCCTGGAGAGCCACTGCCGGTCCGAGTAGACAACACTGTCCTTGATGGACCAAGGGTCTGATTCAGCAGAAGGCAGCTTCATGTGATTTCTCAGGTTCTCAACTCAGGTCTCCCCAGCTTGTGGTCCTACTCTGCAATCAGTATGTTACACTAACTTTAACTCGTGTACGAAATGTCTGGCATATACCTTCCATGGAAAAGAACACACTGCCACTTTAATATACTTTCATTCACTTCTGTACCCAAACCGGAACGTGGGATCCAAGAAAAGCCATCCTAAGAGCCAGTCTGTTGTAGTGGTTAGGTGCGCGGACTCTAATCTGGGAGAACCAGGTTTGATTCCCCACTCCTCCACTTGCACCTGGCTGGATGACCTTG